ATTGCCTTTACTACAGAACCCTTAAAGAACCATCTTTTTTAAGTGTCACACAGGGTAGGAACCACTTAAGCTTAAAATTACTTCACTATGAATTCTGTATAGAACCATTTCGTGCTTGAATGGTTCTTTGCATGGTGAAATGGTTCTTTAGATTGATGGAGAATGTGTTTTATTTGTTTATTGTTCTACACTTTGAAAAGATGGTTCTTCAAGGGTTCTTTAGTAAAGAAAATGGTTCTATATAGGGGCATGAACTCTCAAAGAACCATCTGCATGATTAATGGGTTCTTTGCACAGTGAAATAGATCTTCAGATTGATGGAAAATGTGCTGTAGATGGTTCTATACAGAACCTTGTTTTAAAAAGGATGCTATATAGCACCAAAAAGGGTTCTAATGTTATGATGTCAAGCTGAAGAACCCATTTTGGTACTACATAGAACCATTTTCGAAACTCTTCTATATAGAACTGTATGCAACACATTCTCCTTCAACCATGCAAACTAAACAGAGAGGTGCTAAAAAACCATTGCCTTTACTGCAGAACCCTTAAAAGAACCATCTTTTTTAAGTGTCACAGAGTGTAGGAAGCGCTTAAGATGACTTCACTTGACAAGGTTTATGCCATGAGTTCTATATAGAACCATTTCATGCTTGAATGGTTCTTCACATGGTGAAAAGGTTCTTTAGATTGATGGAGAATATGTTTTATGTGGTTCTGTATAGAACCTTTTTGAAAAGTGTTCTACACTTTTACAGAGATGGCTCTTCAAGGGTTCTTTAGTAAAGAAAATGGTTCTATATAGACGCATGAACACACAAAGAACCCTTTGCCTGGTTAAAGTGTTCTTTGTATGATGAAATAGTTCTTCAGATTAATGGAGAATGTGCTGTAAAGAAACCTTTTTGAAGAGGGTTCTATAAAGCACCAGAAAAGGGTTCTTCTATTGTTATGATGTCAAGCTTGTAACAATAGAAGAATCCATTTTGGTACTATATAGAAACGTATACAACACATTCTCCATCAATTTGAATTACGATTTCACCATGCAAGCTAAATAGAGAGGTGCTAAATAGAACCATTGCCTGTACTACAGAACCCTTTAAAGAACCATCTTTTTTAAGTGTCACACAGTGAAGGAACCGCTTAAACAAGCTTGAAATGACTTCACTTGGCTAGTTTTGAGGCACGTGTGTGGTGATTTAGGCATAAAGTACTTCAGTACTTGTTAGCTAAGACATGGTGTCTGCAGTTCACTTCACTTTAGCGCTTGAGCTACGATGCTAAAGGCTACTGTATTTTTAGCCATACTGAGGTAGTTTTGTTCATTTATTTAGATAAGAGTGTCGAACAGTGTAGAACCCACGTAAACAAGCCTGATTACTTTATGTGACAAGGTTTAAGCCAAGTCTGTGATGATTTAAGCTTAAACGTCCACTCATAGCTACGTTAGCCTCGTAGCTTCAGCGTAAAACTGAAGAAGCAGATTTTTATGCGACTCTAAACCCATGTCTTGACTGATCAAGTACATTTGTGGTGAAGGTAAAATGGTGTAAACTTTGATATTTTTTGCCAAATTATCACTTGAAACTGAACCAGCTGACTTGCAAACACATTTAACCTGCTTCTTAGAAAAAGCCCTCAGGTTCTGAACTGTCCTCCAGCACTTTAGCGCTTGAGCTACGAAGCTAAGGCTACTACTGTGTTTGCTATAGTGAGGTTCATTTTTCTACACACTTAAAAAAGATGGTTCTTCAGGAGTTCTTTAGTAAAGGCAGTGGTTCTATTTAGAACTATGAATTCTGTATAGAACCATTTCATGCTTGAATGCTTCTTCGCATGGTGAAAAGGTTCTTTAGATTGATGGAGAATGTGTTTTGTGTGTTTATTGTTCTACACTTTTAAAAAGATGGTTCTTCAAGGGTTCTTTAGTAAAGAAAATGGTTCTATATAGAGGCATGAACTCTCAAAGAACCATCTGCATGATTAATGGGTTCTTTGCACAGTGAAATAGATCTTCAGATTGATGGAAAACGTGCTGTAGATGGTTCTATACAGAACCTTGTTTTAAAAAGGGTGCTATATAGCACCAAAAAGGGTTATTCTATTGTTATGAAGTCAAGCTGAAGAACCCATTTTGGTACTATATAGAACCATTTTCGAAACTCTTCTATATAGAACTGTATGCAGCACATTCTCCTTCAATCTGAAGAACGATTTCACCATGCAAACTAAACAGAGAGGTGCTAAATAAAACCATTGCCTTTACTGCAGAACCCTTAAAGAACCATCTTTTTTAAGTGTCACACAGTGTAGGAACCGTTTAAAAAAGCTTGAAATGACTTCACTTGACAAGGTTTATGCCATGAGTTCTATATAGAACCATTTCATGCTTGAATGGTTCTTCGCATGGTGAAAAGGTTCTTTAGATTGATGGAAAATGTGTTTTATGTGGTTCTGTATAGAACCTTTTTGAGAATTGTTCTACACTTTTAAAAAGATGGTTCTTCAAGGGTTCTTTAGTAAAGAAAATGGTTCTATGTAGAAGCATGAACACTCAAAGAACCATTTGCCTGGTTAAAGGGTTCTTTGCACGGTGAAATAGATCTTCAGATTGATGGAGAATGTGCTGTAGATGGTTCTATACAGAACCTTTTTAAAAAGGGTTCTATATAGCACCAAAAAGGGTTATTCTGTTGTTATGAAGTCAAGCTGAAGAACCCATTTTGGTACTATACAGAACCATTTTCAAAACTCTTCTATATAGAACTGTACGCAACACATTCTCCTCCTTCTGAAGAACGATTTCACCATGCAAACTAAATAGAGAGGTGCTGAATAAAACCATTGCCTTTACTACAGAACCCTTAAAGAACCATCTTTTTTTAAGTGTCACACAGTGAAGGAACCGCTTAAACATGCTTGAAATGACTTCACTTGACAAGGTTTAAGACAAGTCTTATGATTTAAGCATAAACGTCCACTCATAGCTACATAAAACTGAAGAAGCAGACTTTTATGCGACTCTAAACATGTCTTGACTGATCAAGTACATTTGTGGTGAAGGTCAAATGGTGTAAACTTTGATTTTCTTTTGCCAAATTATCACTTGAAAGTGAACCAGCTGACTTGCTAACACTTTAACCTGCTTCTTAGAAAAAGCCCTCAGGTTCTGGACTGTCCTCCAGCACATCAGTCAGGCCACACTGAGTGAAAACATCAGCTCAACACTCTACGAAGTACACAGTGACCCACACGGCATTTCTGTTTGCACCTTGACTCTCCGCTTCAGGCCATGATCTCCCATAGTTTTAGACAACGAAGTGACACGTCTGATACTTATTTAAAGTTGTACAATGTAATGTTTTTTATTTAAATAAGAAATCAGTTAGTGTGCTTTCCTTTTTTTAACTCAGACTCACTATTGTACAGTTTTCTTACATATAGTCAGTGATGTATATAAATTGTGAATTGATTTCCTCTCTGGTTTGGGGGCGGTAGCCTGTAGATGTGTAAATATAGCTGAATAATGAGACTCGTGCCATGTTGTTTTGTCTTTTTTTATTAGTTAAAGGCATTTTTTAATAAGAAGAGACAGTTTTTTTATGGAATTACACCTGATTTGAACCCTTAAACATGGAGGCCATTCAGTCGCTATACAGATCAGTTGGGTGCAAGACTTACTGCAGTGTTTTTAACTTTAGTAAGGCTGTCATTCTTTTAAACTAAAAAAAAAAAATAGGCAGTAACTGTAACACACTTAAATTCTACTTAAAGCCTTTTATCATCATCATCATTAGTCCAGATAGGGTCGCGGTAGCAGTTAGGAGAGCAGAGAATCCCAGAAGACCCTGTCCCCCGCAACTTCCTCCAGATCATTCCTGGGGACCCCAAGCCACTCCCTGGCCAACTTGGAGATATAATCTCTCCAGCGGGTCCTAGGACGACCCCGGGGTCTTGTCCCAGTAGGCCGTGCCTGGTATACCCCCACTGGGAGGCGTCCAGAGCGCATCCGGATCAGATGCCCGAACCACCTCAACTGGCTCCTCTCAATGCGGAGGAGTAGCGGCTCTACTCCTAGCTCCTCCTGGACGACTCATCACCCTATCAAGTAGAGTGTAGCCCACCACCCTGCAAAGAAAGCTCATTTCCGCCATTTATACTCGAAAAATCCAAAAAATCCAAAAATCCTCCATGACAAAGGGAACCTTGTACCCTGCCCGGGAAAGGGTTACCGGCACCAACCCCTGGAGCCAGGCCTGGGGGTAGTGTTTCTCAGCAAGCGCCTTTTGGCTGGGCAGCCCACGTAACCCGGCCGGGCTCAGCCCGAAAAGGCAACGTGGGGGGACCATGTGGGCCCACCAACCACAGGGTCCAGCATGGGGGACCGGTGCAGTGCCGTATAGGTAATATTTAGGATGGAGAGATATTTACTGCTGCTTTTAGCCTTTTTTCAGCTTTATATCCTCATACAAATCTCCACTTTATCATTTACCTGAGAACCATCACTATGATAATGCAAATTTCTGTTGGGGACCTCTATGGGAGTTGCAATGTTATATTAAGGCAAAACTAGCGGTAATGTACACTTCCCACACAGGGTTTAACACTAACAGTACCAGCTCTACTTAAACACTGACATTTGAAACGTTTGAAGCTTGTAACAAACATTCAAGTGACATTCTTAACCTTGTATGTTTTACAGAGAAACCTTTGGTAAAGTCTTAGTGAATATTATTGGAGGAGCCTGTTAGACCAAGTTAAACAAAACCTTTTACTTCATAGACATGCATTTTATCACTGGAACCTTTTTACTCTACGTTCATGGATTTTTAGCACCCTTATAAAGGCTTTATGAATGGTTTAAAAGCAGTTTATTAACAGTTTTAATTAGGTCATAAACATTACAAATCATCAATAAGCAGTTGTAAATAAAAAGGGTGGCAATCAGCTGTCATATCTGATGAATATGAATGTTTGATGAAGCTGACCGGTTTAATTCAAATGATGGAGAAAACAAAGCAAGTAACCAACACGATCTGAGTTTTAAGAGTATAGATGAATGTGGGTTCTCTATTTGGCAAGCAACAAGGTACTGATGCCCTTTTTATTTGTGTTATACTGTTAAGTGTTCATGACCTAATTAACAACCATTAGCTAATTTTAAACCATTCAGAATCCCTTTTACTGTAAAGTTGTACTGGAATTTAACTGCAAACACATGGATTTGCAAGATCCTGCTGGTGTGGGTCTCCTCTCTTTCAGTAATGCAGACAGAAGTGATCCGAATGCTATCTGCTGAACATTGCTTTATACTGACCTGTGAACGCAACCGATTACTTCTTTATGGATTTTAATTAACCATGACAGCCCTAACTGTAATTTCAATAATCAACACGTTTACATGCTCTTGAGTAATCAGATAATGGGAAACTCTGGGTCTACATGACTCAGGCAGTAATCAGATTACTGCTTTTCAACCAGCCAATAGACTCGCAGAAGACGACGTGACGGAAACGTAATGTAAAACTCAAACTTTTTTTTAAACAACGCCCCACTTTACCTGAAAATATAAACATACATCATCTACAAGATGAAGAATATTCAAATCCTTTATTTCGTGTTTGGTTTCAGCGCCGCTCCAAGTGTTTTGCTGCGTCTCGCGACATCCAACGTCTGATCTCGCGCAAGCGCAGGCTGAGAAATCCGAAAGAAATCAGAGTGAGAGTTTACATGCACTGAGAAATCTGATTACTGAGCTAAAATCCAGCTCTCTTCATTGGATTTCCTAATCGGATTTCTAGATCAGAGTATGCTGTTTACATGCCCATTTGAATAATCGGCTAACTGCAGAAATCCGATTACGATCAGATTAATGAGTGCATGTATACGCACTCAAAGTTTGGACAGCAGAACCACAAGGAAAACACGAAATGTAGTATGAAATGTCTTTCTAAAAGTCAGATTCAGTTCTGCTGAATTTCAGCCGTACTGATATGATTACAACCACACAGCACTGTATTAACCTCCATCATTTATGTTGCCAAGGAAAAGAAAGGCCCTTTAAGAACTGAACCAAAAGAGACTCCAATGTAGGACGTAAAACACAGCAAGGTGGAAAGTATCAGGGATTTACATAGAAACTTTGACAAAATACTGACCAATTTATTTATAACATCAGCAACCATTCACTCAGGTCCATGATGGATATTTCTGCTTTCCATTCCACCTTCATCATGTTTGAACAAAACAGTGAACTGGCAGCTTGTAAATAACTGTTTGAGCAAAGGATGAAACTGTCTGAACTTGTAACATGAAAAAAACTACATCTGATCATTGTAAACAGCATTAGGCAAATGCAGAGGTCCAATTACAAATGTACATTCTTTATCAAAAAACGCGAGCGTTCCCATCCAAGCCGAGCGGCAGTTCGATTACTCGGCGGCATCCTTCTCTGCCTTCTCTTTTTTCTTTTTCTTCTCCTTCTTTTTTTCCTTTTTCTTCATTTTCTTCTCTTTCTTCTTTTTCTTCTTCTCGCTCTTGGGCGACCCATTGTCCTCATTTTTGTCCTTGCTCTCCTGTTTGCACTCCTTCTTCTCAGACTCCGCTTTGGTCTTGTCGTGATCTGTCCCGTGAGATGAAGAGGAGTGGGGACTCTTTTCCTCCTTCGCTCGCTTCCTCTCCGGACTGCGCTCGCGGAAGTCTTGGTAGATGCGTGACGCCGCTGACCGTTTGTCCTGGATGGGCGGTCTCTCTCTGTCTCTGCAGTCAGACGAGTGTGGTCTTTGTTGGTGCTCTCTTGGTGTCTCTTGCTGTCCGTGCCTCTTGGTGTCCTTATGCCTGTCGTGATGATCCACCGGCGCCTTCTGCGGAGAATGGACAGAATTCTGGTTGGTAAATCGAATTTACACACTTTTTCTCTTACCACAAACGTAGTCGATCAGTTGATTAGACACATTTGCTTTCTTGAACCAAGTGTGCACTATAAGACTAAGAAGTTTCAAAAAGTGCTCATACTACACAAATTATTTTATAAAATATTAAAATACTTGATTGCATCACCTTCATTTATCCATTCCTAGACCTGTCCTGATCCTGAACATTTAACTGATGATTAACTAACAGAAATAATTGTTGACTAAATGCAACTATTATAGTGTTATTAAGTGAGCTGTCTTGTTTCCCAGCTCAAACTCAAACATTACTCACCACTGCCACCTAAAGGTGTTAAAGCACCAGTAAAAACTAACTTTTGTTGTTTCTGTAAACCTCGCAACGTGTCAATAAATTTCAGTCTTCTTTTATTTTCATGAATTTGCATCCATCCAACTGATGAAACCACATGCAAGTTTTGTTTGCTGTGACCTAAACGTGATTGTGAAAGCCAACAATGGAAGAAAATAACTGTGATCAGCTCAATTAATTGTGATCAGGCTTTGTTCTAAACTATGTCTAGTTGACAAAAATGTATACAGTGAAAACAATGCAGTTTATTATAGGCTTTACAAACAGAATATTAAGTAATTAAGTACACATGTGCATACTTAGGCCATTTTAATAGGTTGAACTAAAATGAAAACGCTTGTCCAGAAGACGGGTGCCAACGCACCAGTTTTTCAATATTTTGGTTACATGCCATCTGTGCAGAATGGCTATTATTATAAATGAGTAAGTAACATTTTATTAAGTGATTTTTTTTGACTGAACTGTGTCGCTCTGTATATGAAAGCTGCTGGTGTTATACCAATACCAAAATATCTAAGCATAAATATGTACTACTCAAAGTGCTTGATAGCTATTTGCCAGGCTTACTTTGAACATAGCTGATCAAAATTGACTAATTTGGCTATTAAAAAAATCAGAATTGGCCATAAAAATTCATAACTGGTGCACCTTTAGAAATTATATTACCATCGTGGAAAATGCAAGCTATAGGGTAAGGGTCTATAAAGGTACTCATCATGAAATTGGAAAGAGCTGGAAAATATGACCATACATAGTTATCGTGTTAAATTATAAATGTGTATTTTACTAGTCTGTCAAGCTGACATGAACTTGTAAAAGGAGTGGTTATTATAAAGGCACTGACTTCACAGAGGCAGTTACCAGTATTCAACAAGCAGCTCCTCCATGTCTTTGCCTGTTTTTTCCTCTTTTCTAGCTCTTTCATTTGCTACTGCCTGAACCACTCGTTCAGTTATGTTGCTGACCATCTCATGCTACAGGACTCAGACGTAAACAGTCAAATGTCAGACATCGGGAGGCCTCTGTGCACTCCGGAGCCGCCAGTTGCTCCTGGAAGTTCGGTTTGTTGTCAAATCTTTGTTGAATTTGTGTCAAATTCGAGGCAAATCAGGTTTAAAATCGACCTAAAAGTGCACTGGCTTTAGTTTTAGTTTACCTGACGCTGTTTGAGGCAAGAGTGTGATGATGTAGCTGTGCTACTTGCCCACTGCTATTTTTTGTACATACACTTCCATCACTTGTTAGCTACATTAGCATCATTGCTCCAATGTAAAACTAAAGAAGTAGACTTGACACCAAACCTGTCTTGGCTGGCCAGCTACATTTAAACCTATAAAGAAATCAAACATGCATTTTCATACCGTAACCAAGAAGAAGTGACTATATGTATATATATCTGTATTGCTGTGAATTGTTACCTTCTGTGTGTTGTTCTGTTTGTGGCAGGCACTGTGGCCCTCCGCGCTATTCAGATCCCCAAAGAACTCCTCACATCGCTGGCAAAAGAAACCTATTACTGGGATCAAATCACCTGAACCTGCAAACAGAAGAGAGAGTGCAGATACATGCACCTTAGAGCTACTCACAAATGACATATGAAGATCATTTTGATAATACATCAATAAGTTGAATATGAGGACATCTGAGTATGAGTATGATTAATCAGCACATTTTTCATTTAATACGATCAATGCATTATGGCCTTTTTTGTTACTGATCCAGCATATCAGGGATTTGGGAAGAGGTTGATTAGAGACTGATTATGCAAGCAGGTAGCTCTCCTGGAGGAGGGCTGGAAACCACTGATCTACAGCCTATAATACAACGGTAATTTAAAAAATAAAACTACATTTAAAAAACACTATATTGTTCAGTTGAACAGAGTAAAGTCAGTACATACAGACTTTGGTAGTAAATGTAGACTTTTTCACCTCCGTTTTGCTGGCCCACACGTCTCCATCCGTATTGGGGAAGTGATTATGTGTGTTTAAAAACGGGCTAAAGTGACCAACGGCTGTGTCCGACTGCCAGGACATCAGCAACACCTCGTTGTGCAAGCAGACCCTTGTCCACTGCTAGCTTGAGTCATGTGCCCATTAGCACAATAGGGTACACTAAGGCTATGTTCACACAGCACAAAATCCAATTTTTTTGTCTTTATCTTTTTTATTTGTTTGTTTTATCTTTTAAATGTGATCTGTATGTGACATCAGTCTGAACAGGTCAGCTCCTAAACTGAAAAGGTCAGCTCCTAAACTGAAAGAACAATGCTTCACGCGGCTCATCCAGAGGTCAACAATCATGACTATTAATGAACACCTGTCACTCCCAGAGGTTCAGCTTCATCTTCGCCAGCATCACAGGAGCCATCATGAAGCTTCACTGACTGACTGCTTGGCTTATCACCCAGAATGTGTTCGAGCTCGCCGTAAAAAAGGCACGTTATTCGGCCACGGTCCCTTCTTTGGTTCACGTCCTCGGATTCTTTAAACTTTGCTTTCAGACTTTTAACTGTTCTTTGACGCTGCAGAATCGCTCTCCTACGACCACGCTCGGCCATTTCTTTCAAAACCTCTTTGAACACGGAGGGTTTTGATGAGTCTCTTCTAATTTTTTAGTACAGAAACATCAGCCTAAATGTTTATGAGGTCTCAGCAGCACGAAATGATGACGAATGTCGAGTTGGACTGACGTAAAAGTCGCATGATTTCCGATCTGGCTGTTCAGAGTGAGTCGCATTGCTGCAGATCAGATATGTATCAGATTTCAGCACCACATATGAAAGCGTCTCAAATTGGGATTGAAAATGTCAGATTCAGTGTGTTTATCTGTTCACACAGATACACATCTGTGTCACATATGGAGAAAAAGATCAGATTTGGGCCACTTTTACCTGCTGTGTGAACAAAGCCTAAGCTTACGTCTCGTGGTATCAGCTGGTATCGGACCAGACCAAGTAAATATTTGAGAGACTCTTCCAAAGCCTCCATTATTTAACGACTCGGGAAGTGGATGAACACTAGGAGAACACCAAGTAGCACCTGTAAAAAAGGAAAGTATCCCAAGACCCCATGTAAACTTGGCTGAATCAGGCTTATGTTGGTTGATGCTCATCCATATCTCTGCTTTTAAAGTGCAGATTCAGATGTAGGAAAGTCCCATATTCTCACTGTCTCAAATCTGTCTCAGTACTACCTCCCTCACCCTCATATTGCTTCTCTTAATTTAGCAAAGTAATGTCACTTGCTGGAAAGAGGTTTTAAGAGCCTTTGTGTTGAGAATGAACAAGATAACTTGACGTGAGAACACACCCTCCTGCTTCAGCAGCCCCTCCAGTTCCTTCACCAGATACTCCTTCCTCTTCATCTGGATCTGTTTCTCCCTCCTCTCCTTTTCGTCACTCCGCTACAGTTGCACAAGAATTAGCATCAGCACACAGTCAGCAAAACATTACCAATATACACCGATCAGGCATAACATTCTGACCACCTCCTTGTTTCTGCGCTCACTGTCCATTTTATCAGCTCCACTTACTATATAGGTGCACTTTGTAGTTCTACAGTTACAGACTGTAGTCCATCTGTTTCTCTGCATACTTGTTAATCTGTTCTTCAGTGGTCAGGACCCCCATGGACCCTCACAGAGCAGGTACTATTTGGGTGGTGGATCATTCTCAGCACTGCAGTAACACTGACGTGGTGGTGGTGTGTTAGTGTGTGTTGTGCTGGTGCGAGTGGATCAGACACAGCAGTGCTGCTGGAGTTTTTAAACACCTCAGTGTCACTGCTGGACTGAGAATAGTCCACCAACCAAAACTATCCAGCCAACAGCGTCCTGTGGGCAGCGTCCTGTGACCACTGATGAAGGACTAGAGGATGACCAACACAAACTGTGCAGCAGCAGATGAGCTATCGTCTCTGACTTTACATCTACAAGGTGGACTGACAAGGTAGGAGTGTCTAGTAGAGTGGACAGTGAGTGGACACAGTGTTTTAAAAACCCATATACATATGTAGAATGTCCCTCTCTATGTAGTTGTGGACGGACTGTCCTGGCTGACAGTCTGATCACGTCCTGCATTAACATTCTCAGTCACCCAGCTACTCCTTACATATCGTACTAATGCACAAGCATCACAGTCACTGAATGTGTGCTTTCAAACATAATGTCCAGCCCCGTTTACCGATGTCTTTCCCATAGATCTAAATGTAGATGTACAAATGTAAACGTAGACACTTTAGTAACTGCTCCTATTGAAACACTAGTCAGTTGAGCAGTCTTTGTTACTGAAGCTCCTGCAACTTGTACCCCATAATGAACAGTTTTTCAAGGTAATTTTGATTTTTTTCCTCTTGCCATCCTCATCCATAACCAAGGTCAACTGGGCCTGCACAGTATTTACTCACACAGCATGACAGGATGTTAATTTCACATACACCATTCTGGAAGCGTATGTATTTATTAAGTTTATCCACTCATTTATTCAGCTTTTCCCTTTGTCCCCCATTTGCATCAGGTGTTGCTAGCAGTACATCCAGGTGGCGGAAAGACGTGTTATAAACAGCTCTCATTACCTTTTCTCTGTGATCGGATTCCCTGTGAGAATGGCTGCTTCCAGAACGATTGCTCCTACTGTCATCAGACTTGGGTGCTGAAAACAGAAAATTCGGTCCATATGAGGTAAAGGAACTCTGAACAAATCTACTTTCATTTAGAGTAATTAAACCATTACCACTGCATTCAAAGGTTTGGGGACACCCTGCCTTTTTTTCCCCACTTTACTTTTCAGTTCTTATGAAAACAGGGAAACACAAGTTGCGAATCTGATCAGAAAGTGAGCGAACGCAAGTTTCGCTGAGAGTCTGGTAGAAGTGTGTACATTTGAGCAAGATAGTAACAGCCTAAAAAAGATTTTCCGAAAACTAAACAAAAGTATCAATATGATCTGAAATACCAAACATTAGAACAAAAATAGAAAACGTACTTATTTTACATGCACATTGGTATAAACAAATGCTGCAACTGTTCTATTTTCATTTAAAGATACATTACACTGTGCTATTGTTTTATACTGCTAAACAAACCACAACCCAGATAATAAACATATTGGAAAGTAAAAAATGATTCTCTTAATCATTCAATCAACTTAGGAGCTATGAACACAGCCATTCGCTCATGCGCTTCATATTAAGAACATGAAAGTGAGGTACTAGTAAGCTGGCACTTGATATCTCGCACTGAAACCGATTCATCAGTTGCGCTCAAATGTCCGCTTGTTTCCATATTGCACCGAAGTTTCATGAATCAGATGCAAAGTAGTTTGTGTGACATTAAACGTAGTTAAATCTGAGCTCATGTTTAGGCAACTTCAATGAATAAGGGGCACTAAAACTATCAATTATTCTTACAAGCACCAAAAGCTACCCCTTGAGGAGAACCTTTAGCCTGCTAAATGTGAGTGAGTGAGTGAGTGAGTGAGTGAGAGTGAGTGAGTGAGTGAGTGGTCTACAAGGTGCTTCACATTTAAAACAAACACCAGCAAAAGTTTTAACATTACTTCTATTTACTAATTCTTGCAGGTTTTCCCTAAATAATAATTTGACAGTTTTCTTTTCCAAACTATTGTTAAATCTCATATTTCAAAATCTTTTGTCCTAAAGGTGGTTTAAACATCTGAGTGCTTACATCACATCTATGAGACAAAATGTGTGCGCTTTGATATTATTTACAAGGTAAGGCTTTTAGCAGTTGTTCCTTCAGTTTGGCAGTTTTTGCATTGAAAAATGGCAAAATCTAAACAGCTTGGTACGGATATAATATACAGAGTAACTCAAAAAGATTCATCCGATTTCAAAGCACCATATTTTACAATCACATACCAATTGTAAGAGGGGGTCATAGAGTTTCTGACTGTCAGTGGAAGATGGCTCCCTTCAGTCTGAGAGGAGATGCAACCCCTGAGCAGAAAGCGTTCTGCGTTCTCCACTTCAATAAGAGTGAATCCGTCATAACTGTGCAGCGTGATTTTCATCGGCAGTGAACCTCCAACAGCTCAGAACGTTCGTTGTTGGTTCCACAACACTGGATGATCTCCGAAACTGAAAGTATGGGTATGGGATGAGTTTGACTATGGTGTTGATGTCTGTACAGCTGGAGGAGGTTCATACTGAGACCTTGTACAATTACATAGTAAACTTTATGCTCATTTAAACCATTTAGGCTTTGTTCACACAGCAGGTAAAAGTGGCCCAAATCCGATCTTTTTCCTCATATGTGACACAGATGTGTCTGTGTGTCAGTGTGAGCAGCAAAAAACACATTGAATCTGACATTTTCAATTCCGATTTGAGACGATTTCATATGTGGTACTGAAATCCGATACGTATCCGATCTGCGGCAATGCAACTCAGAACAGCCAGATCGGAATTCATGCGAGTTTTATGTCAATCCAACTCGACATTCATCATAATTTCGCACTGCTGAGACTCAAAAACATTTAGGCTGATGTTTCTGTACCAAAACATTAAAAGAGACTCATCGCAGCCGTGTTCAAAGAGGTTTCGAACGGAACGGCCGAACGTGGCCGGAGGAGACAGAGGCTGCAGCGTTAAAGAACATTTTAAAGAATCCGAGGACACGAACCAAAGAAGTGGCCGAATAACGAGCCCTTTTCACGACAAACTCGAACACATTGTGGGTGATGAGCCCAGCTGTCAACCACTGGAACTTCATAATCACTTCTGTGATGCTGGCGAAGACGAAACTGAAGCACCGGGATCGACTGGCGTTCGCTGGCCGTCATGACTGTTTACCTTTGAATGAGCCGCCACGTAAAGCATTGCTCTTTTGCGCATGTGGGTCAGTTTAGGAGCTGATCTGTTCAGAATGATGTCGCATACAGATCACATTTAAAAGATAATGTGAACAGCCAAACAAAAAAAAATGGATTTGGTGAGAAAATCAGATTTGGGCCGCTTTTACCTGCTGTGTGAACACAGCCTTAGTTTACTGCATTGTTCTGTAATGATTTACAAGTGAAATAAATCATTTTGAAATCGGATTAATCTCTTTGAATCACCCCGCATATTAAGCTATCACAATCAAAGAAAACATGCAAAAACACATTGAAACACTAGGTGTCCCCAAACTTGTGACAGGCAACGTAACCCGAACACCTGTGGAGATGCACACTGTTAAATTACTGTTTCATTAATCATAATCAGATCCAGCACTGAATGGTACCTTTAGACAAAGCCTGCAGAGCTTCCAGGGCTGGTTTGAGCAATGCAAGCCCTGAAGCTGGAGAAGTCCCTCTCTGCTCCACCTGTTTCTGCTTCAGCCTGGCTGCCATCTTACTGATATCAGTCATGCTGAGGTTCAAACCGATAGTCTTTAGCAGGTTTTTCACCTTCTCACAGTCCTCAGGGGTGACCTTAGCTGTGTCTGTCGACAAGGGCTGTTTGCTGGGCACGGCTTGAGCTTTGGGCTCCTGAAGAGTGGAGGTCTGGTAGAGGAGCGTCTTGGTGAGATATGGAGACTCTGCTGAAGAAATCATCGTCTCCACTGGGGATTGTACTGGTCTGGTCTGGGCCAGAGGGACGGTGACAGCCTGAGGTTTGGTCCTCCCTTCCTCCTCTCCGTAAAGGAACTCCTCTTCATCCTCGATGCTTGAGAACATGGGCTTGACTTCAGGCTGCAGGCTGGGGTCGTCCCAGGATAAGATCCGGGGGAAGGAACTGGCACCCTCTCCGACCCGCTCATGAGGAAGCAGACCGCTCTGGTTAAAGCCAGCGAGGAGTTCAGGTTCATACAGCTTTTGTGGAAGTTCTGAATACTTCTGGAAGGTTTCCATTACAGGCTGGCTTTCTTGTATTTGTCTCACTTCATCTGGGAACTGTTAAAAAAAGTGTTATAAATAAAATTTATGAATAAAGAGTGGTGCTATAACGTGGGGCAGGGCGATATGGCCAAAAATGTTATCACTAAAAAAAAAATCATTCATATTACATATCGCGATAAATGTCAAATCATTATTTCTTGCAGGTTTGAAGGCCGATTCCTGTTCCTGAGAGGTTAATTGTTGTTTTAAACTATCCTTTATGGTCAGAACATGACAAACACTCGCCAAACAGTGGAACACGCCACAAATCTGTCTTGGGACAGTAGGAGAAAGTTTCTTTTAGCTGTTTTTACCAGCTGGAAAAGCACGGCTGCAGTTTTTGTAATATTCATAATTTAAGAAAGAAAACAGATTATTTTAGCTGTGTGGTGACGAGTGTTAGACTATCTGGTTACAAGTGCTAAACTGTTTAGTTTCTCAAAACATCAGCTTCGTATGAACAGCAAACACTAGCTGGCTCTGTACGTCAGTGCAGATGGATCACACCGCCTTACTGCCGTCACTCCTACCACATCAATGTCAGAGCAGATCACAGTATTCAGACACCAGCTAGCGACGTCTGGATTTCTCTATTCTATCATAGCAGTTTGAGGGGTGAACCGCAGTATATCTGACGCTCGCTGTGTAAAAGTGTGAATCTCTCACACCAGACAAACAGAGTCCTCCTTTTAGGTACGTTTAAACTGAAATCAGCGCTTTTTTGTCTTGTTTGATCAGTTTCCTGTCGTTTAAATTTCACTTTTGCTGCTTGTGAATGCACTAATACTAAAATATGACTGAGTGCTGTAACAGTGCTGTAGTTGAGAGGAGCAGACGTGATTTAACACTGCTAAAGCTTGTTAGGATATTAGGAAAGAGGTGAGTTCACTGTAGGTCAGTACAGTTACACCACTGACCTCGTCACTCACACTCGGTCACAGGAGAACAGATCGCCGGTCGCTCCACTCAAACAGGGACTGTATAACTCCGCGTTTCAGATGTTACTAAAGTATAATTTAGTCTAATCATGCTGAAAAACTCGGAAGTGCGCCCTCTCGTGGTGACAGCAGAGTAGTGTCGCTTTCCTTGCAGTGGAAAACACCACCAGGGCTGTCGCCTGAACGTGGAAGTGAGAGAATACTCTATTATATTAAACATTTATCGAAGGTTTCTTATATTTCTATTGAGGAAATCTATATCACAATAATTATCATTATATCAGCCCTAAAGATATACACACACCTTATAAAATGCAGAGAAAATTTTAAGGAGTGGCTGGTGAAAAGCTAAGTCAACTGAATGGGAAAGAATGTGAGAACGCATACAATGAAGTCGTTTCAGGTTCGTTTAAACGCTGTGAATTCATTAATCTCTGAAGAATCAGCACATGCGATTGGTCTGTGAGTTTCCCGGGCCTCTAAACTGCTACCATAAAGGCTAGAAATGTTATGCCGATTAAAATAGGACCACCCCATCAAAATTAAAGAATTCTCCATAGTTTATCAAATATCGGTCCAGGTTCGCATAGGACAGCGTCTGGGTCCAGACTCAGACCGTGCTCCACCTATTAGTGACCTCTTGCATAGAGCAGCTAAGTTAACTCTAACCTGAGAGAAAGTTCCTCTGTTCCTCATCTACAGCCGGTGTTTTCAGAAAAAGTTCATTAATAATATTAAATTATTTATCATTGGGGGCAATATTGTCGATAATCTAAATTTTTAACTAGGAAATATCATGATAATTATTTGTAGATATTGCCCAGGCCTATTTGGAAATTAAAACCACGGTTCAGGAGGTATGCTACAGTAAATGTGGTACCTGGTTCCTCATGAGGGCGCCTTTAACCACAGACAGGTGCTTCTCCAGCTCCTTGCTCTGCAGAACCTGCTTCAGGCCCTGGAATAGGTCTGGCATTGCGATGTCAGGCGGACTCACTCTGTTGCTGCTGGTACCACTATGCTCTTTCACACTCCACTGAGAGTCTTTACTGGACTCTAGCCGAGGCTGGCTCTTACTCCTCATTGCGCTTTTGTCGCGGCTGTGGCTCCGGCTCCGGCTGCGGGCGCGACTCTTCGCTCTGGTTCGACTTTTTCCACGGCTCCGGCTGCGGCTCCGGCTTCGGCTCCTAGCCCGACTCTTCGCCCGGCTCTTTGCTCGGCTCCTTCCTCGACTGCGGCTCCGGGCACGGCTCTTCCCCCTGCTGCGACTGCGGCTTCGGCTGCGGTGCCTGCTCTTACTGCGGGCGCGGCTCCTGGCTCGGCTCTTGCTCCGCGTGCTGGAGTGTTTCTCTGAGCTAAGGCTTCCGGTCTCATCGTCCTGGCTCTGCCTTCTGGTGCCCTTTTCTCCAGACTGACCGGACAGCTCCAGCCTGTCTTTGGCTTCCAGGATTCGGAGGAACTCTTCAGCTTTTTTCCTGCAAGGAGGGGGTTTTGTTAGTTGACATTACCTCAATTCCTGTATATTGAATACAAATGCTGGATAAAAAGATCCAAAAGATGCTCTCAGAGTCACTAACAGCAGGCCTGTGCACAGGTATTTTGGGGTGCAGGAGCTTAATGGCAAAAAAGGGCAACCTGAACATGAATTACACTTCACAGACTGGTGTTTCTCCTCGCTTTGTAAAACTGAATCTACAGCATATTGCAAATATGCTTACCAAATGAAACCCAACATAGGGTTACGGGTAACCCTAAGCAGGGATCTGAACCCCAATCTCCAGCATACAAGGTTATAAATGTTCCCCACAATGCTATCTAACTGCTATCAGTTGGTGGGTTATACCTTTGTTTAGGAGCCACCAAGCCTGGCATAAAAAAAATTGTGTTTTTTGTTTGTTTATGTTTGTTTTTAGTTCAAAATAAGTATATAACACAATGGGATGCTTTCTTTGAGAGATTGTCAGTGCTATGTTGGCAGGATCCTCAGTGTTCTCTGTAATGGTGAACCAGGATCCAGTGGTATTCGTGAGAAAAATGTACACAGAACAAAACGTATCAGGTTCTGAACATGTTTATTTAACATAGAGGCGATTTTTTGAAAACCCTATTCATTCTGGCCATAGAGAAATGGAGCTTAGACCCGGAGTTCCTAATATGGGCATAAGAGCATGGAGCTGACTACAAAATGACGACACGACTACAGTGGTCTATTTCCAGGGTGAGCCTGAGCCGAGCCAGGCTCGATCGCGTCTATAAAAGTGGCCATATTAATGATAATTATTATACATGCCAACCAAGAGGGCACTTGTACAGTCTAAAAGCAAAAGAGCAGAGGCTCAAACCCCACACTGGGGTCTTACCTGTCCACACGGCTGGCTACTAATGAACAAAATCACACAGCCACCAAAAATAATTATGCAAATTACACTGTGCTAACGGTGACTACTGGATTCCATTCAATTTTAACCAGGTTAGCATGTTTGCTTGAGCTATTCCTTGTGTGTTCTTGTTTAATGGATAAAAAAAAAATATTCACCTTCTCCACTTTCCAGACCACAGAGCTGGTCGCCCTGTGGTGATTTAGGTTTTGTTTAAAAACCTTTTCCTTCCTTCCTTTTCCTAGTTTAAAGCTGTTAAGTCAACAAGAAGAGGAAGGGAAGAGAAGGAAAAGGGAAGGAAAATTACAGGCCTACTGTTTTTCACCAACCTCAGGGGCCGTCTGATAATTTTAACCTCCGTCCAGACGCACATCTCTGTGATTTTTCAGGAAGATGTCGCCTCACGTTAGGAAAAAAAAATATCGCTGTTTTTTCTATTGGCTATATTTAGTCGCTTAGCATGCATATCCATATTAAACACTTCCCGAATTAGGAATCAATGGATGCTTCACCCACACTCTCTACACTGGAGATGTTTTAAAAAAAAAAATTATATACACATACATACATACATACATACATACATACATATAATTATACACACACACACACACTGCAGACTGATTAAATGAATTATAATAATGGCAGCTACACATATAAAGCATTATTCTATATTCACATATGCACAATGGATGCAATAAAAGATGATATCTTTTAAGTCTATAAAAATAAACTTTTAGTTTTCTAGACGTAACAACTACGATCATACGACCAGAAACATTTGCAGAAAATACAGCCCACTAGAAACTTGTGTGGAATTTCATTTCCATCCGGATATGGGAGTTTTATCACTGAAGAGACGTGTAAATCTTCTACTACAGAGGTTCCCCTGATAAAGGTACTGAATCTGAATAGGGAGAGCAACAGATTTACAGTGAGCAGCGCAACAAGTGAAGTCTGAATCTCAGGCTGTATAAAAGATGGACTTAATGTTTAGCTCTACTTACCTCACTTCCAGGCTCTGCAGGTCCGTCTGTTGGACTGTCCATCCCTGGGGTGGCTGGCTGTGTTGAAACTGCTTTGGAGGCGCTGCCTGTCAAAACAACATAACACATAACAGACACAATGTGGTCAGTAGTCAATGCTGATATTATACCTGATTGTGATTTTATGTCTCTCTACCCTGTAGTTTTTGTTATATTATATCCAAGGCGGCCTCAGCCGGTGTGTGTATGTATATGTGTGACCACCTCCTTGTTTCTACACTCATTGTCCATTTTATCAGCTCCACTTACTATATAGGTGCACTTTGTAGTTCTACAGTTACAGACTGTAGTCCATCTGTTTCTCTGTATACTTTGTTACCCTGTTCTTCAGTGGTCAGGACCCCCATGGACCCTCACAGAGCAGGTACTGTTTGGGTGGTGGATCATTCTCAGCACTGCAGTAACACTGATGTGGTGGTGGTGTGTTAGTGTGTGTTGTGCTGGTGCGAGTGGATCAGGCACAGCAGTGCTGCTGGAGTTTTTAAACACTGTGTCCACTCACTGTCCACTCTATTAAACACTCCTACCTTGTCAGTCCACCTTGTAGACGTAAAGTCAGAGACGATAGCTCATCTGCTGCTGCACAGTTTGTGTTGGTCATCCTCTAGTCCTTCATCAGTGGTCACAGGACGCTGCCCACAGGACGCTGTTGGCTGGATAGTTTTGGTTGGTGGACTATTCTCAGTCCAGCAGCGACACTGAGGTGTTTAAAAACTCCAGCAGCACTGCTGTGTCTGATCCACTCAGACCAGCGCAACACACATTAACACACCACCACCACATCAGTGTTACTGCAGTGCTGAGAATGATCCACCACCCAAATAGTACCTGCTCTGTGAGGGTCCATGGGGGTCCTGACCACTGAAGAACAGGGTAACAAAGTATACAGAGAAACAGATGGACTACAGTCTGTAACTGTAGAACTACAAAGTGCACCTATATAGTAAGTGGAGCTGATAAAATGGACAATGTAGAAACAAGGAGGGGGTTTTAAAGTTATGGCTGACCGGTTTATTTTGGCAACAAACCAAAACAAAGTTAGAATAAGTCAGCAGATCTGTCGGTAATAAGGACCGAGACTGTAACTGAGAGGGAGAAGACAGAGCTCAGTTGTTTGGACGTTACTTGCCTCGTAGAACGGCTCTCTGCTCACTGCTCCGCTGAAGCTTTCAGCGGCGGGGCCTCGGTACGGAGGATGCCCCGGTGGAGGCTCGGCGACCGGGCTTGGGTATGAAATCGGGCCAAGAGCTCCGCGGTACGGCGGGGGGAAAGGTGGCCTGTCAAACGGGTCCGAAAAGGGAGGTCCAGCATTGTTGGGCGGATGTCCATACCGGGATTGGTGTAAAGGAGCCCGGCGGTAGTCTGGGTTTGACGGTCCTCGGTACATTTCGGCTGCCTTAGCTTAGCCGCCTCACCTTTCTTTCTCAGCTAGGTTAGCTTGATAGCAAGCAACTGTTAAGCATCAACCACAAAAGCATTGCTTACTAATAAACACGGGAGGTTATGAGTCCCGCATCATGTCTTAGGTCAATTTAACCTTCTTACATTCAAAGTATAAGCAGCTCCAAAACCACAACAAAACTGTTTCTGCTGGGAGCGTGTGTTCGCAGACATGTATAAACCGTACGAAGGCCGCATCCCAAATAGCTTCATGCGCACTTTGTAGTTAGCACACTACGAAGGGCATAAAATAAGCCAGAAGCCCTCGAGTAGTGATGCCAGAGGGCGCTCCCGAGGGCGTGCAAAATGAATGCTTTAATGCTTTAAATGTAAAATAATACAATCATTTACTGAACCCAGAACAGCATAAAACATTTTAACACCGCTGTTACATTTTTAAGAGCTTTTAAACTCGAGTTATAGGAGTTTAAAACGGCGCCTCATGTACGTTCATGACGTCAGTGAGCGCAAACAGCCAATGAGCTGCTCCGCTCGCCAGTCAATCATCACGCTCTAGCAGTAATGCCCGCCTCCTGCTGCCCAAAACCCGTTTGCTGTAGAAAAAAAAGAAACATACAGGTGAGTTTTCTTTGTTGTTTTAGTGAAATACATCCTTCTCAGTGATTAGTGATTAGAAACTATTTTAACTTTTCGTTTTTAGCCGTTGAGCGCCGTTCACTCCCATTCATTGAGGACTCGCTCGCGGGCGCTCTCTGCTGTTTAGCAGTCCTGTTTTTGATATAACGGGGGGAATAGGAAGAGGCCAGACTCCTAATAAACCGGCTCTGGTCAGACGCCCTTAAATAGTGCACTACAAGTTGAGTAGGGTAAGGACATAGATATACACGCCTAGGTGCCGCGTTGGCTGTTGTTCTCTATCTGAGGCGCGTCTGCGCGCCCGCCATGTTGGAGCGGTCAAGATCTGCTCGTGAACAAATTCACTTGTATTGAGAGATGAAGAGTCTCAGGATTAAATCAGCCACAACTTCCTTATTACTCAACTGATTTTCACCAAATTTGTTTTGTTATAATCCTCAGACACAGATTAATCTAGGCTGCTTGGACTGCTCTCGGTAGCTTTTATTACTTTAATAACTGATTGTGCTAATTAGCTGCCCGCACCAGCATAAAAGTATTCAGTCCGCACCTGATGTTAAAAACTGAGTTTAGTGCTCCGGTAGAAACGTAATCTCACACCAGCAAATCCATCAATGTGTCGATCACTTATAATCTTAATACGCATAAAAATATAATGAACCCCCCAAAACACAGTAAGAAGGACGAAGCTAAAGTTGGCTTCCTATTCTCCAGCTTCTTGTTCGAGTTTTCCCGTTTCACCTTAAATAGTGCAGCAGTCAAAATTCGAACAAGAAGCTGGCAATTAAGAAGCTGACTTCAGCTTCATGTAAGAAGGTGCTAAATTTAATCTATGATGAATATAAGTTAAGCTCATTCTAATTCGCTACTGTTTATATTTGCACTATTTATACCCACGGACCTTAATCTGTATGTGCCTTATGTCACTTTGGTGTTAATTTCAGGACTTTCTATATTTATATATTTTTTATTATTCTATTTTTCTACAATTAATGTTTATTTTTACGATTAGTGTTTAGTGTTTTTTAATGTCTATTTAAATTCACACTTTTCCTGTTACTTTCTATTTAATGTTATTGCTACACCATGGGGTCTGAGAGTAACACAATTTCAATACTCTGTATGTCCTGTACATATTGTAGTATTGACAATAAAGCTGACTTGACTTGACTTGAATATCTACACGGTTTTAAGGAATGCTATAACTTACCCAGCTACAGTGCATTAACCATCACTGTAAATAAATAACTACTACATAGAGTTAAGATCCCCTGATTAGACTATTAAATGAAATAAACTTCATATAAAACCAGAGGAAAAACAATCACATCAACAGGTTCTCTGTGCCTCACCAACCACACAGCCATATCTACACATAAACATCACACAAACAATACACATCACATAAACAGAGAGTGTGGATCACTGAGTTCCCTCTGTTATATAATCCTGTCCCGCTTTCTGAGAGCAATATTGTTGAAATAGTGTAATTCTGGACAGTATCTTTCTTAAACTGCCGCTCTGTAATGGTACTGAATGCAGTCCAGCAGCGACGTTGACCGCCCCAAAATGGCGGCGCCGTTGACGTGCCTGTCCGGACCCAACGCGGCATCCAGGTATGTATATCTATAGTCTGGACGGGAGCCCTCAAATGGTGCCCTACAAGTTTACTAGGGTAGGTAGCAGTTTGGGATTTGACCACTTTCTATCGCCCCCTGCAGTCCGGGAGTGGAAAGCGCTAGCCTGGCCCTTGAGCAGTGAAGCTGCCTGTCAAGTCAGATTTACCTCGTTCGCTTCGGCATCGTGCATAAACCTCTTCGTAAAGAGTTCTGAGAGTGAAAACTGGGAACGTCAGTAGCGCATCAGCCATATTAGAACATAACTCTTTATGCTGGGTTTCATTTTCGTCGGGCAGATAAAACCGGCATCTTGACGGTCAGCATCTGACTAGGGCCGTCAGGACCTGGCCGTGCCAACCCAGCAGCAGAAAGCAGCTCCATTTCTGTCGAGCTCGGCGCGAGCGCTGATTTCTGCTGTTTGACATCAGCTCGGCCGTTTCGTCTGAATGGAAATCGATATTCTTGATTCTCTGGAGGACCTCGGGTGAGTGAGAAGCATCGTTTCTCGACGTGTCGCCCACTTCAACCGAGTTTTCCTCCGTGAGTTGGCTGTCACAGCCTGCACGTCACAGATTGAGCCCAACGGCCCGCCTGCTAACTTCTCTAACTCCGTTTTCCGCGCTAAAAAACAATCAATAAGCTGGATATCGTGTAGTAAACTGCCGTAGGACAGTTTCTTTGGTGTTTAGTAACGTTAAAATGCTCGTATTTTCCCAAACGCTGCAGAATTTGTAGACTGAAGTTGGCGAATTCGCCGGTCCACCTTAAATAGCGCAGTGGTAACGTTGTGCTGCCTGCTGGCGCCAGTATGTAACAACGGCGCGTTTAAGGTGGAACGGTAAATTCCAATAAAAGCCTGACGCATGTTAAAAATCATCGAGATGGTTTCTAAATTTGCATTGCCGACTTTTGGTTAGTTAGAACACTTTTATTATTATTATTATTATTTATTGTTTATTATTGTAATTATTATTATTTTTCATCACTACTCTCATTATTGTTTGGAGGTAACGTTATATTCCATCGAGTAGTTTGAATAGCGAGGTCAGAGAAGCTCCGAGGATCTGACAGCACGCATATAAATACCTTACCATAACTGTGCTGTGGTGTCTGATGGCTAGGCTAGCCTTGCTGGCTGGTGAGGAGATTCTGTAACAGATAAATATGCTGACCACAGTTGGTCCAGCCTTAATGAACCGTTTCTCTGCTCATGCATAATGCAGTATTTCACAACTTATAGGCATGCAGTGGCTCAAACATACAGCCATATGTCCGCAAGCCTCTTCTCTGAAGGTTCCAGCAGATGTTTCTAGAAACCAGCGAGGCTCTGGGTGACTGAAACTGGCAGCTTAGCTTATTCTACCAGATGGTGAAACGAATCGTGGGCATTCAGGGATATCATCTGTATGGAAAATGGATCTGTAATAACTAAGGATGCGCAATGATATCGGATGATGCGTGCTTAAAAATATCAACGACGGGCAGATGTTTAGGTTTAATATTTCAAACTGATCGTGTTTATTTTACTCTGTATTATAGTACTGAATTGTGTAGAGCAGAGTGCTTAGAGACCATGTGTCAAACACAAGGACACAATCCTGTCCGGCCCGCAAAAGTATTTTAAGATTAAGATTAAGTGACCCTTATTAGTCCCACGAGAGGGAAATTTCACCTCCGCGTTTAACCCGTCCGTGCAGTGAAACAACGCATACACAGTAGTGAGCACACACACACTAGGGGGCAGGGAGCACACTTGCCCGGAGCGGTGGGCAGCCCTATCCGCAGCACCCGGGGAGCAGTTGGGGGTTAGGTGTCTTGCTCAAGCGCACTTCAGTCACATACTGTCGGCTCAGGGGATCGAACCAGCAACCTTCTGGTCACAGGGCTGGTTCCCTAACTTCCAGCCCACGACTGAAGAAAATTCATAGAAAATTTTAAACCATCTGTTTATAGTTTATAGCCCAGATTTGTGGAAAAATGGGTCGACTTTCAGTGGAAAAAAAAATTGTGAGTTCGGCTTCTTTTATTATAAGGGTTTAAACTTACATCACCCATCTATTTGACTGGAAAGAAGACAGTTACAGCTCTCATACGACCCCCACCTTTAGAATGTAGCTTATGAAATATGAAAGTTATGAAGAAAATGGCAAAGTGTGTTTTGGAGCCACCGGTGGTCTCAAGGAGTTGAAAAGGTTTACAAACCTTTGAGAAAAAAGGAGTTAGACAGAAAAAAGATTAAATCGTCCTATAACGAAGTGTCAATGTCTGAGACTTTACAAATAGTTTTATCAGTAACAAGAATGAGAAATAGGCTCCCGAAAGGTGCAGCTGTCTTAAGTGTTGGACGATTGCGAGTTCAGTACCCACTGATGTGACAGCTGTCCGTGTCCAGGGCTCTTAGGCTTTGTTCACACAGCAGGTAAAAGTGACCCAAATCCAATTTTTGTCCTCATATGTGACACAGATGTGTGTCTGTGTGTCAGTGTGAACAGCAAAAAACACACTGAATCGATTTTTTTTTATCCCGATTTGAGACGCTTTCATAAGTGGAACTGAAATCAGCAATGCGACTCAGTCTGAACAGCCAGATCAGAATTCATACGGTTTTACGTCAGTCCAACTCAACATTCATCATTGTTTTGCTCTGCTGACACTCATAAACTTTTGGGGTGACACTTCTGTACAAAAATTAGAAGAGACTCATCCAAAACCCTCCGTGTTTGAAGAGATTCTGAAAGAAATGTCCGAGCGCGGCCGCAGGAGAACGAGGCTGCAGCGTCAAAGAACAGTTAAAAGTCTGAAAGCAAAGTTTAAAGAATCCGAGGACGCGAACCAAAGAAGTGACCGCGCCCTTTTTACAGCGAGCTCGAACACATTCTGGGTGATGAGCCCAGCTGTCAGTCAGTGAAGCTTCATGATGGCTCCTGTGATGCTGGTGAAGATGAAGCTGATCCTCCGGGCGCGACTGCCGTTCGTTGGCTGTCGTGATTGTTTACCTCTGGATGAGC